AGTATTCTTTCTCTTTTTACAAACTCTTAGGGTTTTGATTTGTGAATGTTTTTTTTTTGTGTATATTCCCCCCTTTTGCTGTGGATGATGTCTTCTTTATATATCTCTCTCAAATGGTTTTTGTTCCGTTTTGTTCATGATTTCGTGATGATGGCATTGATGGTAGTTAGGCTGTGCGATAAAAAAAATTCTGTTTCCGTACCGACATGTTCGAACCTGTCTTGACTTCTTTCCTTTTCTAATTTGGCAGGCTTGTGGATTGATTGTGTTCGGGCTCCTACTTGTCTACATTAATTTGGGAAGTTTTCAAATCTGAAATTGACGACTTTATTGCTTGTTCTTTTTCAGGTCTTTGGATTGATTCTTCTGTGTGACAGGGGCCACGATGATTGGGGTCTTCAATCAAAGGTCACTCACTTCCTGTGATCAATCCAGTTGTAGCGTGAGGTTTGCATAGGTGTTTTGGTTAAACTTGAAGTTGTTGTAGACTTTGATTCTGTTTTTGGAACGCCCGAAGACCTTCGAATATCATGACAATTTTGTGACCATTTGATTCTGTACACAAATCCCCGGCGTGATTAGTTTCTTCTTCGGTATTAATCATGAACTCTTAGGTATGCTGTCTGAACTGCTTTTAGTCAAATTCTAATCCTCTCCTCATTACTTTGATTCCACCTTTGGCACAACGTAGAACAAGCACTCCCTAGTGTAACTGTCATTTGTGACTGCTCAAACATATATTTGTATTAGTATGATTCTATGTGCTTATGTTGTAAAACCCTCCTTTTCGTATTGATTTCTGCTCTGGCTTGACTTAGAATTGATTTTTGATCCTTTCCCTGTTTTACTGATTTAATACATTCTGTTCGCCAGTTGCAGGATGGTAACATGACATGCTCGAGCAAACCGAGTCAGACTCTGGCTCAGAGTAGCAGCAGCTGCAGTTTTGATTCCCAATGTCTCATGAGGTAAACACTTCTCTTTTCGTGATGGAACCGACATCCCTTCTTTTGGTATCAGTCTGTTCTTTATTAACTGATGCTTTCTAACATCGTCGTAACTTCCCTTTATTATGCAGGTCCGGTCCTTCCATGAAGTTGCACAAAAGTCACCTTGCTTACGGCACGGAAAGAAGGTCTAGTGAACTCTTGACTTGATCTTATATGTGGAAAACCTTACGGAGCCTGATGCAACGGGGCGTCTCCCAATGTAGAATAAGTGCTTGCGATGTTTACCGGTCGTTATGCGTGTTACCGGCGAGGACAGTCCTACTTGACACTCTTAGTGGCGTTAGCAGACCGTAACTGTTAGGTACTTAGTGATTTCTTAGAACTTGTGTAACCTTACTTATGTAAAAAACTTGATTAGAAATGCAATCCGACTATTGGTAATATGTAAAAAATCTTTACATACTTAAATGAGATTGAACTTTGAAAAGCTGGTAACAATTGTGCCAAAGTGCATAGCTTGGAACCATTTAACCCAACTTATCATCAAAGGGTCTAATTAGTAATCAAAGAGTCCTTCTTTCATGCTAAGGGAAGCTTATCTCCATGAAATCAAGTGGTTACATCCACAAAGTATCAAATAGAAAAAAAAACGCCATGAATTTGGTATGGTTCTTGTGAGATTCTATTTCGCGCAGCCCGCGATAACTTTCAAAATATGCGACACATGAACTTATTCGGGTATGACGAATTTGTTATGGTAAAATAAGATCCAACCCTTCACACATCATTCTAGTGTTCCTCTCGATCTTCGGAGCCAAATAAAAACTTTTGAGTTCAAACCAGCTTATGAACTTTGTTGCGGACTTTGATAAAACTTGGCTCAAGATTTGATAAACCATATGTATATTTCCTTGAACCTGTCACGGGCTACTTAAACGATGAAATCACACCATAAGCATAACCTGAATAAAGAGTCAAACGGCCAAGTCGGGAGGGACTGGATTGTAAGTGTCATCCTCACTTGAATTCAATGCGCTTGCACAAGTTGGTTAGTCGCACAAAAATAAAAATAAATTAAAGCTAAGTAACAGTAGAAAATGCACAAAACGAGGTGGGGTCTTACGGTCAAAAATTTGGGTGTGACACCTTGATCACCTACACGTTACCCATGTAGAGGTAACATTCAAATTGGAAGAGTCAGTAATCACAAATCATTACAAAATGTATAAGAAATAGATATAGTAGTTACACCAACAATTATCCATACTTCATATATCCATCACATATCACACACATACTCACACTGTCACTTTATTAAGTCATTCACAATATCATTATGTCATCAATAAATCATCATCGTCAAAACATCACTTATGTTACAACATCATCAAAACATTTATTAACTCATATTTATGCAATGTCACTTAGTATGTAGTGCAACAAAACGACTCATGCATGTGGTACCAACACTTTGATGTACACATGGCCATCTCCCTCCAAATATCCCCACCATAGGATCGATTCCCACTCGGAACCAGAGAACATCATAAAACACACTCAATCCATACAATGAGATTGAGGCCACCACTGGACCGAAGTCCTAACATCGTCACTGGACCGAAGTCCTAACATATGTTATGAATGCATGATGCAACACGTCACAATAAACACGACCACGACTAATCAAATTTGTATCATCATTCATGTAATCATCATAGTATATCCCTCATAATCAGTCACACTCCATCATAACATCATTATTAGAAATACATCATATTAATTATTTCACTTCATGTGAGACAATGCAGCAACAAAAAGAAAGAAACAGAAGACATAAGAAAAGTAAAATAAAAAAATGTCAGCTCCTGCTCGCCCGGTGAAGCAGGGGTGAAACACCATCCCTATACAAAATTCCAAGAGCACCTATTTTTCATCCTTCCTTCGCCTCTCCTTTCTCCCGACGCTTCCTGAGCGGAGTAGCTTTGCCCAATGAAACATATGACTTGCCCGACGAAAGCGCGAACACAACAACTCTACAGTTGCGTTTTCTGCACAGTCCAGACCCCAAAACGCTTGCGATTCCAATATAGTTCAATCCAAAAACACCCATAATTCACAAAATATCACAATACAACAACAACACTTCATAATAGGCATCATATATATCATCTAATAGCACTACAACATCATTTTATCACTTATTTTGTCATGGATCATTATATTACCATCATATTACTACATTCTCCCTAAAACCCCAAAACCACCTACATACATCTAAACCCTAACAATTATAATGAAAAGTAATACTCCCCGTACCTTAGGTTCTTAGTTCTGATCCTTTTACTTGAGTTCAATCTCTTAGATCCCTAGCCCCTTCTACCTTTTTCCTCACTGTCGTTTCTCCAAAACACGATCGTTTAGAATGAACTTCTCCACTTCTATTTTCCCTTTTATCAAACTTGCCCTTAAGACCCCTAATATGTCTTTCCCAACTTACCATCACTAATACTTCTATAATGACCACCTTGCCCTCGATGTTTCCCCTTATTTTATTTTAATTAATAATAATAGTCTAAATAACATGATCTATATTATTCAATTATCATTAACTCTAAAATAATTCTAATTAATTATTTAATTTCTAAATAATCCTATTATTCCCTTAACTCATCATCACCCCACAACACACAACAAGAACGCACCATGCATAATAATTCACTAAAACTCACTGATAATCACAAATAATTTAACAAATATTAAAATATAAATATCGGGGTGTTACATTGCCACCTCCAACCTAAAACCATTATTTTGTTGCTTTCTGTTTCTGATTAATTTCTCATAATTAGAAAAATTCTTTCTCTGTTTATCCTTTTATTTTCCACACTTATTGAATCTTGTTTGCAGTGCTTATTCAACCACTTTCTCCCTTTCCGAGTTCCTCTACTTCAGTCCCATCTTATGAGCCTCTAATGAAGCTTGAATTTTTTCCAACTTCATCTTAACAAGATTCTTGGACTCTTCAATAGACACCATAATATAATCAAAGTTTGCAGTCAAAGATCTTAACACTTTCTCAATCTTCTGCAAATTAGTGATTGATTCACTACACACCTTCATCTGGGAAAAATTCTGAGACTAATTCATCTTCCTTCATTGAGTCATCTCAAATTTCTTTCTCAACATCTGAAACTTCACCCTCTTCAACTTTTCATCTCCTCCATACAAATTATTTAAGTTGTCCCACACTCTTTTTGTTGATTCTTCTCCAATGATCTTCTCAAACACGTTAGGATCCACACATTGATGGATCAAGAGCATAGATTTTTCATATTTCTTTCTTCGTTCATTGTGTGTAACTTGCTGAATATCATCTACAATCGCTTCCAATGCAGGTACTCCATCGTTCACGATTTCAGCCGCATCTTAAAATTTGAAGATGACTTTCATCTGCGCAACCCATCGTTCGTAGTTCTCTCCTTTGAAAATTGGTAGATTAGTTGGAAATTGCGTTGATGGTGCGTTAGGATTTTCCATTTCAAATTCTCTTTGAATTACAAACAGGCTCGTTGATACCTATTTGTTGGAACAATTAGTGTGTGTGTGTGTGTGTGTGTGTGTGTGAGAGAGAGAGAGAGAGAGAGAGAGAGAGAGAGAGAGAGTTGTAAAAGTTAGAATTTTATTGAGTGAAGATATTGTATATTTACATCATACAACGCCTTTATATAGACAATAAAAATACAAAACAAAATCATACAAGTTTCAATCTGTTTTATTCGACTCAGTCAAATACATACTTACACAAAGACAACAACTATATATTATTTTCGACTCTATCAAATACAGCTCACTCTGTAGCCACTTCGACTATATTGCACAACCTTGCCTAACTCTGACTGTTTAATGAAATCATGAATTACACCTTCTAACACAATGAAAACAAGGATATGGAAATTCCATTTCTTCAGAAGTGATAAACAGTATAATAAATCTTGAGAGGGAAGGGAAAAAAGGACTATCTAATGTATTACACATACAGATCTTCACACTTCATTTGCTTATTCTGACAGGAACAACTCGAAGGGGTTGAGCCATTTGCAAGGTAATGCCAAATTTATCATCCATGTTCATATTTTCTGGTTTCATGTTACCTTCAAGCTTCCAATCGAATGAGTTGACTAATGACCCCAACATTAACATCAACATCCTATTAGCCAAAACTAAGCCTGGGCATATTCGTCGTCCGCCACCAAATGGTACAAGCTCGAAATTCCGGCCTTTGAAATCAATCTCTGACCCTAAGAACCTTTCCGGAGAGAACAAAGTTGGATTCATCCATATAGCTGGATCTCTACCAATCTTCCACACATTAACTAGCACTTGTGCATCCTTGGGGATAGTGTAGCCACATATGTCAACATTACTCACAGCTTTTCGTGGCAGTAAGAGCGGCACGGGCGGGTGCAACCGAAGTGTCTCCTTTATTATAGCTTGTAAGTATGGGAGGTTAGAAATATTTGATTCCTCAAGTGGGACACCACAACCAATCATTTTTTCTAACTCTTTCTTGGCCTTCACCATAACTTCTGGGTTGTGGTTAAGCTCTGTCATCGCCCATTCGAGGGTAGAGGATGTTGTATCAGTTCCCGCCACAAATATATCCTATGCATACATATGGTTACATTTAATTTGAAATGATTAAATAAAGAGTTAAATATGTTTATGGTCCCATTACATATCTAAAATTTCGATTTTAATCCTTCAAAATATTTCTTTTATAAAATGATCCTCGTAAAATTTTTCATCTACACTTTTAGTCTCTAATACTAAAATCGTCGCTAAATCTGTCCTTAAGTAATTAACCGTCGCTAATTATGTCGCTAAGTTATAAATATCATCGCTAAGTTGCAGGAGAGACCAAAAATATAGATAAAAAATTTTAGGATAACAATTCTTTAAAAAAAATATTTTGAAAATTTTAAAATAAAATTTAAAATATTTTTAAAAACCACAAACATATTTAATCTTTAAATAAAAATCCGAAATAAGTAGAGAATATATACATACATGTGATAGATGTTTGATCATATTATTGTCGATAAACTCATTTTCCTTAAAAATGTTTAGCATGGAATCTAACATGTCTTTGTTGGTGTCTACACATGTGCTTTCCCTCATCTTCAAACGTTGGATAACCAAGTCTTGAAAAATGTCAAACAGCTTCTTAACATTCTCTGTCTGTCTCCTTTTAACGCCTTGTGGATCGATCATCTTCAACACAGGAAAAAAGTCCGCCAGATTTGGCGTGCCAACAAGTTTTGTAATATCAGTCACCAAGTCCTTAAACTCTCCTGCTTCACCATTAGTCTGGATCAAATCCACAGAGAAAATAGTGTTTGACAACAGATTTATGGTTGTTTTGAACGCTGCTGTTCCAACCTCTATCGCTTCGCCAATTTGACTGCTTTGATCAATATCATTGAGAAGCTCTTGTATTTTCTTGCGCCTTACGTCTTGGCTAGCATCAAGAGTCTTGTGAGAAAGTAATTCAGTGTTGCATATTTTTCTTAATTCTTTCCAAAGAGGTGAAATTGGTAGGAAGGGAAGTGTATAGTGCTGGTGGTCGAGAATCGAAACAGATTGTGGAACGGTTCTGTTGGACAAGAACTGGTCATTGGTGAGAAGCACATGTTTTGCCATGTCTGCTGAGGAGATGACAACAGTGGTTATTTGGCCAAATTTGAGACTCATTAATGGGCCATGAATCTCAGCAAGTTTTGCCAATGATTTGTGAGGCTTGTTTCCTAATTCAAGGAGGTTTCCTATGATGGGAAGAGGGGAAGGTCCTGGTGGAAGCTTATAGTTTGGTTTTGATATCTTTGCAATGATTGAACGAAGAAAAACATAGATAGTGGCACATGTTAATGCAAATAGAAGAAAGTTCATTGTTAATTTCTGAGATAGATGAATGTGTTAGAGTGTGAATTTTTGATAAATAGGAAGCTCAATTTATACTGATTTAGCATACATTATAAATTAATATTATATTGTCAAATTGAAGTCATTGATCTTTTGCATAGAATGGGTTTCTTTTAGTCAAGGCACTTATGGACATTGATCATTACTCTTTTAACTTAATTAATATTAAATTTTATAGAGTTGATTTATAGAATAATAGTTTACAATCCATGTGAATTTTATTATACTCAATAATAATATACGTTGATTGAAATGAAAATCGGCAAATATTAATGTAGAGTAGTTAACCCTCCACTGCCCACTTGCAAATAGTTATCTCTATATTCATCTTGTTACGTAAAACATAATTTAAAGTGGCTTTAAATATAGTTCTGTGAGTAATTGGGTGAGAATAATAAATACTCGGTATATTTTCTTAAGTAAAATTTGATTTTTAAGTTTATTAAATAATTTATGTATTTAGTGTATATATAATCTAAATATATTATTTAATTAATATATTTAAACAATTTAAATTTATTTATAAAAGAAAGTGGAAGAAGTATCTCACTAATTATGAGAAATTTATTCCGTCACAAATCTATAACATAACCTATTTTTCTCACTAAATTATTAAAGGATTTAGTAACATTTATTTTTCATTAATTACTGAGAATTTTTATGGAGTTTGTTCTGGACTGGGTCGGGACCTGCCCATCCGTCGAACAGGTTCAACCCAACACTATGTTGGGAAGATTCAATAAGGCCAAAATCTCCCATGTCGGGCACGAAGCCACATACGCCGGGAAGATGACTCATTTGTCGGACCGACCCACACGTTTTCTCCATGTTCTCCACGTGCTCCCTCACGCGGGGACACGTCATCAAGCAACTACCCACCTCTGAAAGAGTTGGTCAGCCCACCTTCCGAAGATCATGGGGCAGTTGATCTAGGGCGAAGACCATGTGCTGGTCATCACTACGCCACGTAAGCCCTAACAGTTACTTGGGTTGGGCCTGACAGTCTGACCCAATTCAAGTAACCGTTGGCCCTAACAGTTACTTGGGTTGGGCCTGACAGTCTGACCCAATTCAAGTAACCGTTGGCCCTACGCTGGGGTCTCTCTATAAATACCCTCTTTCACTAGAGGGTCAGGTATTCCATTCTACACATACTTCTATATTTGCTCTCCCACTCTGATCCTTTACTCACTTAAGCATCGAAGTGCCTTGCAGGTACACCCCCTATTTCTCCTTACCTCCAGTGGCAGGTCAGTGATCCCTTCTAATCAGATACGATCAGTGGCGCCGTCTGTGGGAACCTAGAGCTTTCCCATTCTTCTGAGCAGTAGAACCAAAGCTTTCATCAACTTCATCAACTTTCGAGATCATGACCAGCTCACGTCACGACGATGCTGTCCATAATTCCGCCTTCGACCCACTCACCAACGTTGAAGACCAGAGCGGGCCCGTCAACAACCATGATGGTAACGTGAAGGACGGGCAGACTGCATTTCCTTCATCCGACGACGCGACACGCAAGGTCACCTCGCGAGCAAGTAGCACAGCTGTTTTCCAGCCCGTCCCCACACCAGCATAGGCGGATCCGACAATGACTGCCCTCTTCGCCGCCATCAACTAGACAAATTTGATGTTGTTTCAGCAGAATGAGTGTATCGGGATGCTAGAACATGATCGCTCATCTCGCTCTCCCCCGCAGAGAACCCAGAGCGAGGAATCCCAGAGCCCTTCTCCCCGTCAACGAGGGAACCGACCACAATTGGAGAGGCCGCAAACCGTGGCCTCCAAGAAGCGCGACAGGTTACCTCCCAAGAAGGAGAGACGCTCCCCGACCCTAAGGAAGAACATGCCTAACGGTCTGAGTAAGAGGACGAAGGGTCGCGATCAAGTACCTCGGCACAATCCTTCCCCCTCACGCTCCCCTGTCCGCAGTGACGAGCACAATCACCCGACTCCCTTGTCGCGAGAAATCATGGAGAGCCCTATCCCCCACGGGATGGAGAAGCCGCCTGCGCTCTCTACCTATGATGGCACAACGGACCTAGACGACCATCTGGAAGACATCGAAGCCATGCTCGACTAACAGAATGTTCGAGGAGCCATCAAATGCAGGCTCTTCCTGAAGACTCTGAGGAAGAGAGCCACGACATGGTACAAAATCCTGGAGCCCGAGTCCATCACATCGTGGAGGGTGCTGAAAGACCTCTTCTCGCAACATTTCACGGCATTTCGACGCCATCCAAAGACGAAAGCTTCCTTGGGCGCGATCATCCATGCCCGGGCCGAATCTCTTAGGAATTACATCGAGAGATTCACGACAGAGGCAGTCCAGGTGACTACTTCAGATGATATGAAGCGTTACCTCATGGAGCAAGGGCTGCATCGCGTCTCCAAATTTTTCGAGGTCATGGCAATCCACCGGCCAACCTCCCTCCAGGCCTTCCTCGAGAAAGCCCGAGCATACATCCGGTACGAGGAGACCGAAGCTGCCAATTCAGCCCGAGACTCTCGTAACTGAGAAGCTACCTGTGGAGCTCGAGAAGAAGAAGCACCAGCCCTCCGGCGTGGGGGAGATCGACGACGAGATGATCGTCCCCGGGAGCCCCGAGAACAGAGAGGCCCTGCAGGCTGGTTCACTGAGTACACGGCCCTCATTGCTTCCCGCGAGCGCAACCTGGCTGAGTACAGCAATTCAGAGTTCATGAGAGGAGGTGTCTGTTTCCCTAAACCGACACTTTCCAAAGTCAACGTGGACAAGTCCAAGTACTGCCGCTTCCATCGCGACCACTGACATGTCACTGAGGATTGCATCCATCTCAAGGATGCGATCGAGATACTCATCAAGGATGGGCACTTGAAGAGGTACACTAGGGGAGGAGATGCCCCTCGACAGGAGGCCCACGAGGCCAAAAGGGTCGAGGACATTTCTCCGCCCGCCAACGACACAGGGTTGCAGGTGGCCCTCAGCATAAGTCAGCCTGAAGAATTTTTCTCCCTAAGAGAACACGACTTCCCTAACGGGCACCAGTTTCCCGAGGAACCAGTGCACCCCATCAGCCTGTGGGAATACTTCCCCACTGCAATGGTCATCTCCGGTGGGGCCCCAAACAAGCTCTCCATCGAGTCTGTAAAGAGGAAGTTTGACGAGCTGATGAGCAACAGCTCCAGCCAGATGAACACCCTCGACAATTTCCACAGTTGGTCTAACCCAATCACATATTATCTCGAGGAGCTACCTGGGGGATCCCTCAATGCCGCCACCCTCTGCTGATCCGGGCACAAATGGCAAACTTCGACGTCCGCCGTATCCTGGTCGACGGGGGAAGCTAGTGGATATCATGTATACCCACTTGTTCTCAATGTTGCAGGTCGACGAGACCAAACTAACTCCTTACGTTGGCTCCGACCTCCAAGGATTCAACGGGACAATGACGAGACCATGGGGATATGTGGAACTCAAAGTCACCTTTGGGACAAATGAGACGGCCAGGGAGATCAACATCCGCTTCCTGGTCGTCGAGTGCCCATCACTGTACAACTTCATCTTAGGAAGAACGACCCTGGCTGACCTCACCGCATTGCCATCAACTGTTCACCTTAAGATGAAGTATTACACCAGGCGGGGAGGTGTCGTTACCCTCAACAGCAACATAGAGGCAGCCCGACAATGTTTTGAGGCAGTAATTAAGGGCCGCAGCACGATCGGCCCCTCTCCCAAGGTGATCAAGAAGTCTCCGCCCATCCAAGAGCACAGGCCAAAGGACCACGCCGATGTCGTGGACCTCGGCTGCTGCTTCCCCGACGAACATGACCAGGAAGCAGAAGTCGAGCCACTCCTCCAACGGTCAACAGGCAGCCTTTCCACCCAACGCGCCCCATTCCAAACGGGGACTTCGAGCTCATAGTCCTCGGCGAGGATACGACCAAGAACGTGAAGATTCGACCTCTTCGCCTGGAGCACCGCCGAGATGCTCGGTCTTGACCCCGTGGTCGTCTTCCACCAGCTCTCCATCGATCCAGCCGCGAAAGCCGTGGTTCAACATAGGCGTAGGCAGTGCCCCGAAAAGTCGGCGGCTGCTAAAAAAGCTGTAAAAGACCTTCTAGAGGCGAATTTTATTTCGGAATCCCAGTATTTAACCTGGCTGTCCAGCGTTGTATTAGTCAAAAAGAATAATGGAAAATGAAGGATGTGTGTTGACTATACGGATCTCAACCGAGCTTTCCCTAAGGACTTCTATCCCCTCCCCAATATCGACAAGTTGTCGACAATTCGACGAGATTTAAATTATTATCCTTCATGGATGCCTACTCGGGATACAACCAGATCCCCATGGCTGAGGCTGACAAATAGAGCACAATCTTCATGACCGAGTCAGGCAACTATTACTACAACATAATGCCCTTCGGTCTAAAGAACGCCACCACCTATTAACGGATGATGAACAAGGTTTTCCGGGCAGAGATTGACGACATGATCGAAGTCTACATGGACGACATGATTGTCAAATCATGCACCGAGGTCAACCACACGGCCCACCTCAAGAAGGTCTTCGAAACAGTGAGGAGGTGCAGGATGCGATTTAACCCATAGAAGTGCACCTTCGGTGTGGGTGGGGAAGTTCCTCAAATTCTATGTGACCAAACGAGGGGTCAAAGAAAAATCGGACAAATGTCGGGCTTTATCCGAGTTTGCAACGTCGAGCATGAAGAAGTTGATCCAGTCGTTGAATGGGATGCTCGCCTTGTTATCCCAGTTCGTCTCCAAATCCATGCAACATGCCCTCCCGTTTTTAAGACTATTGAGGAAGGAGGCCATGTTCGAATGGACGGAGGAATGCGAGCAGACCCTTCTCCATCTCAAGCATGTCCTCTTGGAACCGTCAGTCCTGACGAGACCGGATGTCGGGGAAACCCTCTACCAGTACCTGGCCGTTTCCACCAAGGTCGTCAGCGTCGTACTAATTCGG